GCGTCCTGAGTTCGAGTGTCTTCACAGCCCATGACACCTTTGGTAAAGGCTCTTCTCCAACTGGAGTGCTTGCAGGCCAGTGTTTCCCAATTGTCAGTGTTTATACTACATTTTTAAAGATTTGCCTTGAGACAGTCTTTCAACCTCTTTTGTTGACCACCAGCATGACACTTTCCATTTTTAAGTTTGGAAGAGAGTAGTTGCTCTGGAAGACGACCATCAGGCATCTGAACATGACCAGTTATTATTACACTGTAAACTACCCTGAGAACCTCAGATGTAGGCCGGTATATAAATGTAATGAATAATAAAATAATAACAACCCTTTTATCAGTCCTGCATTTTCCAACATTCAGCTTCACTGGATGCCCACGACTTCTAGTCTTCTCTGAATTGAGGCCACATTTGCATAGCTGTCAACCGTCCCTTATTTGGCGGGAAAGTCCCTTATCCCATCGCCGTGTCCCGCTGCTGTCCCTTATTGATGATGTCCCTTAAATTTCCCGGGTTTCAAAGGAAGCAGCTCCTCTCCCTCCCTCCCTGCTGGCCAGAGAGGAGGGAGGCTCCAACTATGTTGCTTGGCTGCGTTGCTCACCCAATAAGGAGTCTAAGAACGACTGGGGGGTGGAGCTTGCATGCCTTGTGCCGCTCAAATCAGCCGCGTTGCCTGGGGACTCGCCTTTGCTCAGCGCTTCCCAGCGGAGAGGTGACGGTGGTTTTCCTTGCTGCATCCCCTTTGCCGGGTTGCTGCACTGTGGGAACCACCGCTTGAGGCTTCATTTGGCTGCTGGCTGGGCTTTCTGCCTTTGGCTCGGAGGGGCTCAGAAGTTGAACATACCTGTGCTGGGGAAATCCCTTATTTTGGCTGCTGGTCCCTTATTTTCGAGGCTGCTGGTCCCTTATTTTCAAATCTGTAAGTTGACAGCTATGCACATTTGAGCACCGTGATTTATGGGATTTCTGTCAAGCGCTGAAAAGAGTCAGCTCCTCCAAGCCTTCCTTGGTCCCAATCCTGGTGATGGTGAAAACCTACAGATATTGCCAGAGTCCCGTTGCCTGTTGCACATTCCTTTCGTTGCAGAGCTGTAAATCAGCCGCACTGAGGTGGACTAATGCAGGGAACACTTAGAAGCATGGCAAAGTAATGAGCAGGGGCTGCTGGTCTGTTGATTTATTCATGCATTGCCTTCCTCCCTTCTATAGCCCCCACCCCTACTCCTCTTCCTCGTGTAACAATCCCTGGGCGGGTCACAGTATAAAACACGGCCACAGATCAGGATCATAGCAACCGTCGCAGTATTTTTAAAACTGGAAATCCCAAATCAAAATGACTTCCGTCTCATTCATGCTCCTACATGGCTGAACATGCATGTGCAAGCTGCAAACATACAGACCAGCCACAACCGAATCTCCAGTCCTCTTCTCTCCTCCAAGAGGAAGACAACTTGGCACTTGTGATGTTATGAATTTGGAGAATTTAGTCTGATGCCCCTAGTCTTTCCACTTCTTGGGGATGTGAGAGCAGGCTTGCCAAAGCCGGACCCTCCTTCTAATTAATAGTTTTGGCTGGCTAGTTAAGCAACACAATTAGCATAACCAGTGTTGTTTGTTTTTCTGGGGGCACACATACGTCTAAATCTTTCCACAACCTACCCTTGTTGCGACCTGTAGGATGTAAAAATTAGAAGAAAATGAAAGAAAGTGATTAGGTAAGGTAAGGAGGAAGTGAAGGAGGAAAGGATTGGAAGGAAGGAAGGAAGGAATGGAGAAAGAAGAAGAAAGGAGGAAGGATTAGGAAGGACGGAAGGAAGGAGGAAGTAAGAAGAAAGAAAGAAAGAAAGAAAGAAAGAAAAGAAAGAAAGAGAAGAAAGGAAGAGGAAGGGAAGGAAGGAAGGAAGGAAGGGAAGGAAGGAAAGAAAGAAAGAAAGAAAGAGAAGGAAGGAAGGAAGGAAGGAAGGAAGGAAGGAAGGAAGGAAGAAAGAAAGAAAGAAAGAAAGGAAGGAAGGAAGGAAGGAAGGAAGGAAGGAAGGAAGGAAGGAAGGAAGGAAGGAAGGAAGGAAGGAAGGAAGAAGGAAGGAAGATGGGCCCCTGGCCAGAGCCAGCAGCCTCTTGTGTTCTTATTTTTGCTGTTGATCTGCCTTTCATTTAAAAAAATACAAAGGTGGTTCTCTAAGACAATCCTTTCTTGAAAGTAGATTTACACACAGATACACAGACACACACCCTCCTTTTCTTCTTCCCCGCTGATTCCCTGGAACAACCCCGTCTCCCTCGTCTGCCTGCCTTGTTTGCCGACTGAATTGCAAGGTTGCCTCTCCTCTTCCCTGCTGTTATGTCATCCAAGAGGGAGTAACCGAGCCAAGACCAACTGCCATGTCTTGGTTATATTGGCACTAAGAAGAGAGAGAAACAGGTTGTTGTTGTGAGTTGCAAGAAGAGCTGGGTTGCGTGCAATGAGACGAGGTAACAGGGAGCCTCTGAAGGTGACAGGCATTACGGAAACCTGTGGATGAGACTCATGGCTGGGACGCAGAATTCGGGGGGGTTATGAGCTGCTCAAAAAAATAGATCAAACAGGAAGGACGAGTAGGAGCATTATATGTAAAGGATGTGTACACTTGTGAAGAGATCCATGACTTGGAGCATGGAAGGCAGATTGAGAGCATATGGGTAAATATGCTAGGGGAAAAAGCATCTCAAAGCGCCAAAATACTGTCTCGCTTTTACTTTACGAAGGGGGCAGACATATCCCGCAGCTCTGGAGGTCTTTCAAGCAAAACCCTTGGCGCAATTACTCTACGGGGCCCAAATCTGGACGGGAAATCATTGCCGCACACTTGAAACGGTCCAGTCTAAATTCTTAAGACAGATTCTAGCCGTTCCACCATGCGCACCAAATGCGGCCCTACGGCTGGAGACTGGCCTCCTCTCCGTCGAAACCCGAACCTGGTTAAGAACATTCAACTATTGGCTTCGCTTAAATTTAAACCCATCCGGACTACTACCTCTAGTAGCACGAGATGCTCATAGAAGTCGGTGGTCCAAAGTAGTGCATCAAAAACTACTTACATGTGGCCTCCAAGCACAGCATCTCCTGAAAATGGGTCTCCCAAGGCAAAAACATTATTGACCAGCGCATGAAGGATATTGAGCAGCAGAATAATCTGGCCTATATTAAGAAATTTAGTGCTTGGTACG